TGTGCTTCCCTACCCTCTAATTCCAGGCTACTGACCCTGTTATCCCAGCACTGGAGCAGCCGCATGCTCGCCTGGACGACGACTGAAATCTTTTTGCATATCTCGCAGCTCACTCAAGGATAGGGATTGGGTGGTTACCATCTCATTTATGCGTTCTGCCTCTTCCTCCTCCTGTTCTCGTGATGGCCCTGGTTCATCTTCATTCCTCACTAAGCGAATTGATTTTCTTGTGTATTTCTTCTTGTGTATAAGGGCGACTGATACCGGCACGGGTTGATTCTCCGGTTCAGCTGCAGTGCCTGTTGCCGGGATTTGAGTAGCTGCAGTGCCTGTCACAGGGGTTGATCCCTGGATGGTACTCTTAAACAGTTGTTTAGCCTTAAACAAGACCTGAACCACATTCAGGAGACACAGCAATAGGACCATGCTGGTTTGAACATCCCAAGGATATTCAAAATTCTCAAGAGCTGTTGTAACTAGCCTGAAGGAGAAAGAGAAGGTGAAGGAGCCAGGGAAAGTGTCCCCCCCATCTCCCCCATAGACTGGTTCCCTGAGGAGAAAAGCTAAAAGGTGTAATTATTAATAGTTTCCGAAAAGTGGATCCCGAGGTATGGAGATGATGGCAATGCTGAGTACAAATACAAACGTACAAATACAAAAATTAGTCTCGTGACCAAAAATTTTATCACATCATAAACCAGCAGTGTTACACAATGCAGCAAAATGATATCCTTGATCCAGCTCCCAGAGGTGATACAGGGAACACATACAACAAGTAAGGTGTTACATAACACAACTTTGAGAGCAAGCACAACGACTTTAAGAGTAAATTAATCAACATTGTGACCAGCGACTGTTAAACCAATCATCTGATGAATGCTTATAACAAATTTGCCTTAACATGCTCTGGTCAGATCTGTCGTTATCTCAACCCTTTGTGCCCCACGTTGGGCGCCAAAAGGACTGTTGTGGTTTAACCCAGCAGGCAGCTGAACACCACACAGCCGTTTGCTCACTTCCCCCCGCGCCCCTCCCCACAGTGGGATGGGGGAGAGAATTGGGGGGGGAGAAGTAAAATTCGTGGGTTGAGATAAAGACAGTTTAACAGGACAGAAAAGGAAGGGAAAATAATAACAACAACAACAACAATAATAAAAGAATATACAAAATAAGTGATGCACAATGCAATTGCTCACCACCCACCAACCGAGGCCCAGCCAGTTCCCGAGCAGCGGTCACCACCCCCCAACCAGCTCCCCCCAGTTTATATACTGAGCATGACCTGTTACCAACATTATTCTCACCCTAAATCCAAAACACAGCACTGTACCAGCTACTAGGAAGAAAATTAACTCTGTCCCTGCCAAAACCATGACACCTTGAATTTATGATTTAGAATTGCTTGTGCTGGGTCCAAATCACTCAAAGTTTGTACTAGTTTAAATGCCAGCAAAGATCCACAGTGGCCTCCCATTTATCATTGAATTTATGATTTAGAATTGCTTGTGCTGGGTCCAAATCACTCAAAGTTTGTACTAGTTTAAATGCCAGCAAAGATCCACAGTGGCCTCCCATTTATCAGGGAAATTACTTCTGTGTTAAAAGCACATTCAGGAATCCTAATCTTAATTTTGTAACCAACGTGCTGAGCAGCCCTGGAACATTACTGCTGCTCTCACTTTATTTACTTACCCTCTTCAGAGAATACAACCTTTAGGAGAGGGACCCATATTTTCTATGCTTTCTAGGTATGGCTGAACTTTTTAATTCTCACCATGGTATCTTTTCACACCAAAGTGAAAAATAATGTTATTATGAGTATAAAATTGCATAGTTCCCCTGTTTGCCTGGTTACTCACCAAAACTCACACCTGAAGCCTACCTGGAAGATGCTCCATCAAACTGACAAGATTAAACAATATTCTGGAAAAATCACACTGCAATTAACTGCCACTGAAGGGTCTCACCTCAGCCTTAAGAATTGGATCCCCGCATCCATGGGCCAGAAAACTCAAGCTTCCATTAACAGCTGTTAGAGTCATTTGTCCCATGTTTTCTTGCCTTTCACCATTAATGTTGAGATAGGTATTAACGGTAGCCATCTGTTGCCCATCAGTACAAGCACTGACTTCCATTCCTTCTTCCAAATCCCCTTAGAGAATGAAAAGAGAGCACTTCATTTACAGAAACAACACTGGCAGACATTGTTGCAAAGCCAGCTTTTTAATTACTTAAGTGATCAATCAGCGTCTGAGTGTGTTAGGTGTTTGTGGAAAAAACACAAGAGGAGATAAACAGGAGAAAATTAGATCAGTGTCAGTGTTTGATTTCTCTCTTCTGTGTGGCTTGTGAATGATTTACAAATACAGATTTGCTACTGCAAAGAAAGCACTGAATTAATATAAATCTAAATAATTCCCTCAGTCACAGTGATTCACAGGCTTTTTTCTACTTTAGTCTTCCACTGTCCCTTGTTGCTGACATTTCAAAACAGCTTAGACCATGAATGAAAAGAGGGTCAGTCCCTCATCCACCCATCACACACATTAAGTTGTTTCTGCCCAAGTAGTGATGAGCATAAGTAGAAATGGTTGGTGAAGTGCGCATAGAATCTGGGTTGAGAGTTGAGTTGAATCATTTCTACAAACTTCTGACTTCAGTAATTCACAAACTAATGGTCTTAATCTGAAATACATCACAGCACTTACAAGTGAGGCCATGAACCTGGGAGAAATTCCACTGCAGAAGTGTGGAATGGCAAATCCATAACTGAAACTAGGACTGGGACTGTCAGCAACATGAGTTTGAGACAACTGTCATACCACCAGATCTACCTGGTTTGCACACAAATCTAATGTAGTTGAAGGGTGGATGAGTCACGACAGAAAGCACTTGCAGCAGGTCTCATTCCGTCTAAACTTTAGGCACAGTCTGAGCCAACAGCCCTGTTTCCTCTCTGTTGTCAGTCAGAATTGACTGCTGCTGAGAGAATCACCTGCAGAGGGTGATTTCACACATCCTATTTCATACGTCTGTTTCAGCATGGGGTAGAGTCAGCCTCTGGAGGTGCCTTTCTCTTTCTCTTCATTGAAATTGGCATGTAATGATTATCTTAGATGAGGTACACAACTTTAAGATGCCTAAATCAAGATGAAATGCCCATCTTTGATGGCATAATCCTTCCCTGGCTAGTAATCATACAAATGTCTCCCAAACTGACCCTTGTATAACAAGTTTTATGCTTCAGATTTTCATTGTCTGAAAGACCATAGCTTTAATCACCATGAAACTGAGCTAGCTTGGCACTAGAGAGACATAGCCTTTCTTCCTGCCTCTTCATACCAATGACAGCTGTGAATCATAGAATCATTGAATATCTCAAGTTGGAAGGGACCCATAAGGATCATCAAGTCCAACCCCCTGCAGGGCTACATAAAACTGAATCATATGACTAAGAGTGTCATCCGTGAAGGTACGTACCTTTCAAGTACCCCATGTAGTACTGAAAACACTCCTTTCCTTTAGAAGCAGCTACTTTTACTTTCTCTTTCTGATCAATAATCCCCTCCAGCAGGATTTGGCTCTGAACAGATGAGGAAGCAGCAGTTCCTGTCAGGCCTAGCCAAATATCTTCAAAGGCTCTTAACTGCAGCCATAAAGGAAAAACATTTATTCAAAGCCACCACACATTAATGAATGTTCAGAGATGATGCTCAAATATCAGTGCTTCCCACAGAAGGGTAAGTGGTGAGGGAAATGTTTTCCAATGCTTGTGCACTACACAGGAGTTACACTCTGAAGAGAGGCACAAGCATTAGGATGATTGGTTCAAGAGCTGAATGACTGGATAGCACAAGGCTTGTGGACAAAATTTTAATGGTAGCAATGAAAGAAACATACTCTAACAGTCAATTCCCTGTGATGCTGCTAATTTGTGCCATTTATTCCAAAACAAAGAATAGAGAAAGCCCAAGCAGAGCAGCTGATACTTCTTTCATCTCCCTTCTTTCTAAAGAGAGAGGGAAAAATAATTTAGTATTTGTCCTAGACTGTTATTGATCAAATCATCATAATTTTGTTAAGGGGTGGCCTATTGTCTCAGTTAATTATGACTGACTACCCACATTCCTTCTAATGAAGAGTTTGGATGGTGCTGACCACATTACTTTTCTGCCCCACTCTGTTGCCACCACCAGCTTCTCCATCTTATTTATTTCACAGAAAATTAAGAGCAAATGCAAAATAGAGGGGGAGAGAAAAAGGAAGAGATTTGCCTCAGAATGAGCATCATATTAGCCGTTCTGGGCCTTTCTTAAGGCCAGTTCTTTTTTCTGGCAAATGATGCTTTGTATGAGTCTCACATTTGTTTCCCTCTTTTTTTTTTTTCTTTTTTTTTTTTTTTGCTATGGTGCAATAAAACATGCCTCACCAAACAGACCAGGCGTGCTGAAGAAGGTGAGCTATAATAACACACAGCCTCTTAAAACTTTTATATACTCCAGTTGATACACACTTACTATATTTGTCACTGAGCTCTGCAGATAACTAATGTTGGTGCCTTCCTTTGTCTCTTGATCATACTGCATGTACATTGCATAACTGCTCCTTTAAAAACAGAACTAAAGAAACTGGGAGTATTTTATGTTGCCTGTACTTGCCTGCTGTTTTAAAGTCACTGGCTGCATCTGATCAGTTTGGAAGATAGATGGCACTAAGCCTTTAGAAACCAAAAACCAAACCCCAGTGCCACTAAAATAAAATAAAAACTCACTTCAATTTCCAAAGAATAGTTCTTCACATCAGCTGTACTCTGATTTTTCAAGGATACTCCAATCAACCCCTCATCTCTCCCATGATCAGCAAGGTGGAATCTGCCCTCTGATTGCAAAATGATGTTGTCTTTGTTGAGCTGGTGTTTTCCAGAGAAAACAATTACCTAAGTATGAACAAAAAAGGTATTAAAGCTTAATTCTTCCAAAGAAATGGGCTCTGCATAGAGCAGTAACAGGTTGTACAATGCTAGCATTCTCATGAAATTACACAATGAAGTAATGAACAAAACTTGTAGTTTCAGAAACCAGCACATCCTCCTTCTCACAGCACTGTCTTACTTCATTACATCTCCGGTTTCTGTGGTATAACAAAACATGTTCCATGATTACAGCATAAGACAAGACGAACAGCTGTAATATAACTATATTTTATTAAAACAAGTTCATTTTTTTTTTGGTCTTACGCTTCTCAACTACTCTAGCTAGACATTTTGATGCATGCCTTTGAAGAAAAGGATCCAAAAGAATACAGAGGCAGCTGATTTTGAAGTAACATGCATATACTTTTTTTGCATTATGAACAGGCACTAACACATCTTGGTCTTGGAAAAAGTTTTCAATCAGAATTTGGCTGCTGTTTCCCATTGCTAACAGGGTGTGTGTGACCTGCTCTGACAGTAAATGAGGAAACCAACTGAGATGCGTTTTAGCCACTGGGAACTGGAAGGAGACCACATTTATTACAAGTTTGAAGTTTTGTGTTTGTTGTGAATATCTATAGGCAACTCCGGGGTCCAATATGCACCTAAGGAAGACCATGGATGGGTCTTCGGTTTACATGTGTAATACAAAATTAAATGAAAACTATAAGGTTACACTAAGGTTCAAAAATCCATCACTACTAGCAGAGCAGCCATAAAAACTTTTACCTGCAGGGGAAGGAAAGCACTTTTATTCCTTTCTAGTTTCCTTTTTGATATCCTCCAGAAACATGAAATTAAAAGACCTTTGAGAGAGGAATAGGAAAGAACGAACATGGAGGAAGTAGGAACGTTTACAACTGTAATAGGACCTATAGAATATACTACAGTGACAAACACAACCTGTCTGCCTCAACCCATCAAAAGACACTGTTTATTTATGGTTTGTTAAGTTATAGAAGTATGGCAATTCTCGTGAAAAGTTGCAGCTGAGGAAAACTGAGTCTCCAAAACAGTAATTGCATTTAAAGTGAAGTAGGTTCAATATGTTTATGTGAGACTTACATTTGGAAGGTCACAGAACTCAAAGCTTGTATAATAGTCCAGGAAAGACGAGTAGTTTGTTTCTATTTTACCTAAAATCTTCTGTTTGGTGCATGACGTCAGGAAAATATTTTCCAGAACAGCTTCTAACTGAAATTTATCAGGATACAAGAATTGATTTCTCTGCAATGAACCAAGAAAACAAAACATGACAACAGAATCTTAGACACTCCTCCGTGCCCACTCATCCCAGCTCTCAACCTCATCCTGTCCCTGTGCTGGCTTTTTTTATTCTAGTAGCTTCAGGGTTTTAACGTAACATTTCCAAAATGTAACATTTCCACTTGCCAATGTTTTGGCTTATCAGCACAGTTACTGGTCCCCATCCTACAGAATTAACTCAACAGTTTTGCAAATTTAGGCACAAGTGACGCCTCTAGTTTGTAAGAACTCATTTTTTCTTAATTATGCTACATTTAGCTTTCTTCTTTTGCAGAGAAATATGTAAAAGGTAAAATGAAATAATAGTATTTCACAGAAAGTGGTACTCTACAGAAGCTTTCTTAAAATCCATTCAAAATTACATACAAAAACTAAATAAATTCCCATCTATTAAGAACAGCTCCCATAAAAACAGTGAGTTAACAGATACCGCTGCCTTCTCTTACCTCGTAAGTTAAATTGTGTTTGAATTTTTTGTCATCCCAGTTCAGATCTAGATATTCATTAAAGAATGCTGATCTTCGCTCTAGAGACCCACATGCTTGCAGGTGTGCCATACTTAATACTCTCTGAAGCTGGAAGAGGGAAAAAAATACATACTACTAATTTTCTAAAAAATGTGTTCAGTATATACTAGAGTATGCTTTCTGGGCAAAAATACACCCCTGTGAGAAGCCCTGAAAGGTCTATATCCACAACAGACTGCTTTAATCTCTACCAAGAAACCTAAGGCGTTGACGTTTCTGTCCTGAGGGAAAACTGCATCCCAAATACAAACATATCTGGCAACATGAAACAGAATTCTTCATAGGCTTTATTTTTCTTCCTCTGAGACATGAAAAGAAAAGGTTGACTTCAAGTAAGATTTTCATATGATAACAAGTGCAGAAAAAATTCATCCTGTGAGACTCAAACCCAGAAATTTAGCTACACCCACCCCTTCTTAGACTCAAAGACTTATACCTGACCTGAAGAGAGTGTCATACAGCCATCCCAGGCACTGATGTTCATCTTTGATTTATCCTCCAGGGTCAGTTGAATGTCAGCAGGCTGCCCACCATTCCCTGTGAGCTGCAGCTGAAACCAGAAGAAAAGGATTTGTCCAGTGAAGCAAGACTAGAACTAGCAGAAGAGCTTGCAGGATGATCTAGCAGAATGATCTCCACCCAGTGGAGACAAAAAGAAACACCATTAAAACTGCCACAGAACAATGTTAAAACTCCATTGAACTCCACGTGGCCTGGAAGCTCAGGGCCTTAGACAAACACACAGGCAAACTGCACTTTTACAACCGAGGCAACAGAAGTCTTTCTGTTATCTTCTCTGGAAGCTGCATTGGGTCTATCGTGCATAGCAATTAATGACACCAGTGGAATAATGACACTACGAGATAATTTATTCCTCTGAATACGATGCTTGAGACCTATTGACTACTTAGTGAAAACAACCTGAGAGCACCCTGTGGCACCACTATGAGTACCAAAAAGAGTCCAGATGAACAAACAGAACATTGTACAGTTTGTGCAGCTTATTATTGAGCAGAAGGACTTCAGCCTCAGCAAATGGAGTGTGCAGGCCCACACAGTGCATTTTCAGACAGAAAATATTCTGTAGTCTTTGATCTTAAAGGATGATTTGTGGAGTTCTTCCTTTTTCCCCATATATGCTTTGCAAGTGCACCTCACAATTTAATTTAAAGCCTTTCTAGTCTTGCACATTTTCACACTTGTGTTGCAATTTCCTATACGGTCCAAAAATTTAGGTTTGCTCTATGTGCATATCAAAGGGTTTCTGGCTTTTTTGGTGTGTGGAATAGGAGTTTGTTCATCACTTTGTGGACAAAACCTGCCTCATTTTCATTGCTAGGCTGGCTCCTGTGCACTTCTGGCTTCTTACCATCGAAAATGGGTCAATGCTAAAACTGTAAGACAGATACTGTCAGTGAGCAACAGTTATGCTTAGAAAAGGGAACAATGCTGGTGGTTTGGACACAAGGAGATAATAGCATCTGGTGCTCTTTACGTTTTTCAGGATGATATCTGGTTCTGCAATTCTTTGAGATGAAAGGTACACTAACAGTAAATATAGTATTACAGCTTTGTATTTTGCAGCCCTTTCTCATGATCTCACCTGCTGGTTGTACTTTCTGCCTCTTCTTTCTGACAGGGAATGGACCTTCAGTTGCTTCAGAGTGTAATTAAACGGGTGGGCAAGAGTGGCTCTGTAGTTCGTACGGTCTCTTCCAAACTTCAGAGATGACGACACTGATACCTGATCCATATCAACAGATGTAAAAGGAACTTGTGAAATAAAACACCTCTCACATACTGACCTCAAACATACACCCAGTAAAATTTCCCTGTATCTTTTCCTCAGATGAATTATCTGCGTAAGAAAGTCCTTTTTAAAGTAGTGAGGCAAATTAATGTTCAAATGAGGACATTCTTGCTACTTGAATTTCCTGCATGGCACAGCTGAAAGTAAAACTATTCTCTGTATTTTACTAAAATCATGAACCATGCTTAAGTTTGATGAGGCTTAAGTTTGGTCTCATCTTTAGGCACTGTAGGCTCCACTACCGCAGAGTGTTTAGATGCAGTTTGCAAAGCTGAAGCACAAGAAAAAACATTTGCAGAATCAGGAACTAAATTCTGTAATGTTGCTGGGAGCAAAATATTTTTGTGGCAATTTAAATAGTGGTGGCATTTAAATAGTTGTGGTAATTTAAGTAGTAGTACAAAAATACATTCTATACAACTTCTAAAGTAAATTTTGGAATTTTAGCACTTTTTAAAGAAATTAAGAAGTTCTAATTCTTTTTGCAGGCACATTTAAGTTTCTGTATGTTAACATATTTTACACATTGTCTTTTATCTTTCCTTTATTCAGAAAACAATGTAATACTCAGCCAAGGTGCTGTATTTCAGACACACATATAAAGATGGCATAGTTAGTTGCAAGCTTCCCTATTTAACCACATTTGGAAATCAACTTAACCAAAGTTCTCCTAGTTCTGTCTTTTTAACTATTTATAGCTTTAAAAAACAATGCTTACTTTAAGAAAATAAAAACTGGTTTAAACTGTGCCAAAGTTGTCATTCTCACTAATAAAGAGGAGAATGAAAGAATGAAGTACAGAAGAGCTTCAACTGAACCAGTAATGCTGAAAATGCTAGGCACAGGTATGTGTCACACTTCTATGTGGGTAAACATAGCACATATCCATGCAACAGGTAGGTTCTTCATCCTTTTCAACCTCACACTAATGCTCACACTTACTCATTTGTCTTAGATTTTATTTCTTTTCCACTATGCTGCTTTAAACATGACGTTTGTGCTATTCTTTCCATCTACTCTCAAAAGCTGTCCTAGAGCCTTTGAGAGTGTTGGGAATGGCCTTTATCCAGTGCTTTGAACTACATGCATTTCATTGCCTTTGGTTATGCAGCAAGCTGTGGAGTTACTGCAAACAAAAAAATAGTATGGCCTGAAAATGCTTCCAACAAGAATACTGGCTGCTCATCTTTCATAGTCGTAGCCTTTTATACATAGAAGAAGGAGGATAGTTTGCCTCCTACTTGCATTCCCTGGCTTGCTTAATACCCCTTCTTTTTTTTAAAAAAAAAAAAGAACCACTTGATATTCTTGTAATTCTCCTGACATTTATTTGCTCTGGGCTGCTGTACCTGGTCCTTCTCATTCCAAATGACAGTAAGATCATCCCGGTGACTGCGTGCTGAATGCTTCACATGTAAGTTGATCCTGGCATGCCGTGGGAAAGGGATGGAGAGAGGATGGAAAAGTTCCACTACAAGGGAAAAAAGCAAGTAAGTTTTCCCCACCACAAATCATGACTGTTCATTTTCTGATAAAGAAAAAGGCATAGGAGATACTCTCCCACAGGTAGCAGGGCAACAGTTGGTTCCCAGAGAAAACATGGTCTTTGCTCATACGCGCACGTGCACCTACCCAACAGCCACAATGACTTCAGTGTGCTGATTTCTGCTGAATATGAAGAAATGTAAGGGAAAACAAGAGTCCTCTATTTACCAGCAAAACAGTAATTACCTGCAATAATCAAAAGATTGATACCTACACTCAAAGCAACTTCCAGCAAGAACAGCCAGGAAAGTAATCTTTATGAAGCTGAGATGACCTTACACTGGAAGAGGAACAGCTTACAACTCTCAAACGAGTAAGTGCAGTTATTTTCTCTACTTTCAGATAACATAGCCTCAACATAAGGGTTTAGCACCTCAAGGTAGTGGCCAGCATGACTAGTGCTCCCCTGCAGTGCCCAGTGTAGTAAAGTAACAGAATTTACTACGGTTTCCGAAAAAAGCCTCAGAAATGGGTGACAACAAAATACCAAAAATAAAATTATATTCAGGAGGGACAAAAACATACAAAGGAAGAAGAAAACATAAAAATAAACAAAAATGAACTTAAAATGAAATGTTTTTACTCTCCAAATTCAAAGGGATACTTGGGCAACATTCAGAAAAAATGTTATCTGTGGGATGTGTCTCTTTATGCCTCTAGTGCAGTGACTGAACGACAAATCTGAGATGTGGGTCACCTCAAAACCCTTTCCTTCTCTCAACTGCGAGAGATTTTCATATAGGTACCCACTTCATAGTGAGTGACTCTGGCCACTGGATTACTGGGTTTTTGAGGCTGAATCTTCCTCAAGCTACATGTGCACTTGTGGAGCCGGGAGCATTTCTGGCTAGCAAGTCCAGGTGTACACCTCACACATGTTGCAACCTCACAGCATGGTAAGGCTACAGATCCTATAAAGCTCCTCCTCAGTGCCTTGACTCCTCCTGGAAGGAAATACATATGTTTCTTTTCCAGTACTTTCCAACTGGATCCTTAAGTCATAAAATTACAGAACCAAGACCCTGATCTACACTGCAGAGTGTACTGCTGCTCATACTACATGTATTCTCCCCGTCTCCCACCAAAGTTGTTTGTGTTTGTGAAAAAAATGAAACATTCACTGGCACAGAACTATGGAACTATTTTATTCAAAATGGAACCATCAGGAAGAAGAGAGGGACAGCCCCACACATTGGATTTCTCATTCAAATCACTGCTCTGAATGAAACCAAATGCAGATGTGAACCCCAGTCAGCCACCTCCCAGCTAAGTATCGTAGAACCTTGGCTAGAATGAAAGTAGCTGCAATACTTTAACTCTCTTCTCTGTTTGCAAATGGTGTCTTGTCCAAAACTAGTTCCTAGGTTTCCTTTGCTCTTCATTAAATATTTAAAATGTTCAAAAGCAAATATAAAAATAAACCCAAATGTTTCACTTAATCCAGAGCACTTCTGAAATTTGTTGTAAAATAACAGTAGACATTTTAATTTGTTGATGACTTTTCACTCTGGCCAAACTCTTTCCTGGCACTACTGAAGTTTATTTAAGCTTTACATTCCATATCCACAAAACAGAAATAGCGTTCTGAAGTGGACATTTCTAACAGCCAAACTCATGATTTTAAAGCAAATAAGATCTTAGAAGGCCTGGATTGAAACCATTTGAATACACATTTTGAAATCAGATTTATGTGATTTAGTTTAGTTTATAGTCTGCTATCAACACTGGCAAAAGACTTGAGAAACGTACCCTGAATGTCATGACCTCCAGGCAACTTTGGGAAGAGTCCAGTGTAAGTGCCTGTTACCTTTACCTCTTTGCCATCCCACAGAGCAATGTGCCTCAGCATACGTGTTCTGTTGCCTTTTTGGTAAACCATCATAAACACAAGCTGCCTTGGAAGAATTTTTAACTAAAAATAAAAGAGGGGAAACATATTAAATCCCAAGTTCTCTGAAAAGTTAAAAACCTAAGTATGTAATTTTGATACCATAAAGTCCTATGGAATCTAGCTTTAGAAATGTATTTATAAAAGGTCTAGTACAATAATACCCTAATGCCCATTGCTTTTGTATAAGCAACTATTCATTTCTACTTGACTTTATTTCTAAAGTAAGTCACCTTCACACATAATGGAACACACATAAATAACTGAGTATCCCCTTTACAATAGTCTTTTCTTATTATATATTTTGATTTTCTATCTCTTTTTTATCTCACTGAATAATTCTTACATCAGGATGACGACCATTACAGAATAAATCCAGCAGACAGCACAAACAATAATATCTATTTGTGACATCTTTTCTTCCTTATTTAGAAAAAGAAATATGTGCAGAACCTGCATAATAAAAATTGGCAATTGGCCAGTTTGTAATATATTATTATTCTTATTTCCTATATATCCTATATATGTGCTCCATCTATAGGAGCAAACAAATATAAAACCAAACAACAGTTTATATCATTGGACACCCAACTAATGTACAGTCGAACGCTTGCTCATGCTACTGGAGAAATCAAGGGCAAAACACTTCATAGCAGCTGGAGCTGTATTTGACCCTCACTGTTTGGCAGCCAGCATCCTGAATGTCACACTCCATAAACAGGGCCAGTCACAGCTTGCCTTTTGCCATCTGAGTTGATGATACCAACCTGGGACACTGTCTGTATTATTTCAATGACATTAGTGTAGCTGGTTCCAGTGAAAGTTAGCTTAGCTGTGACATTGAAATCCTTTTTTTCCATCCTGACGTAGAGTTTGCCTTTTGCTTCACTCATGTCATAATTTACCTTTTCAAGTTCCCATTAAATTAAAAAAAAAGAGAGAGAAAGAGAGAGAGAGAGAGAGAAAATAAACTTAAATATTGTGCTCGCATTCTTCGCACAGTATGTTATATTATGGTCCTCGGGACCTAAGAGAGATCTGATTTGTCATTTTCTCTTATGTTCACTTTATAGAAGGCACAGCTACAAAATAGTGTAAACTGAATAACACGCATAAGAAATTATTTTTTACGTGAGGAGCAACTGTGCTGCATTTGCCTGACAACCCCTTTCATCTTCCTTGCCTATCCTTGCTGTTGTGTATTTCTGCACTGCAAACAGCCAACATCCAGAACTGCTTTCTGCCCAGTCTCTCTTTCCTTAGTAGCCAGAATAATTAAAAATGTTCCTGAGAGGAGTCTACCAGTCATAATTAATGCAGATGCACAGAAGCAGAGTCAAATGGAATAAATCCTTTCCAGTAGGTTGGGATTCTTAGCATCTTTGAAAACATGAACATCCTCAACAACAACAAAAAGGTCAGAGATACTAGTACTAGAAAGAATGCAGCTTGACTCCTAAAATATTAGACAAGTCTAATTTGTAGTGATGTACGTGACAGATAACTGGCAGATAGTTACCTTAGAAGATAGTTCTGCTGCACTGGGGAAGTACTGTAGAAAGAAGGGATGAGTCTGGAGTGCTTTTACATTCAACTCTTCACTAAAGGGAAGAAACGCACTTTTGTTCAACAATATTTCAGAAAGTCCACTCTCATTGACAGCACAAGTTCATCTGAGTAATCTCTGACTCTGCCACAGCTTTTAGAGTCACAAATCGCAGTACCTTCCACTGAACGCCTACCCAGCTCACATTTTTTGATGCATTCATACAAAGGTAAAGGAGACCAAACAGCAGTGCCACCTCTGACCTTAGTAGAAAATCTGCGTGTGCATGCGAGAGACAGAACATGGCCCACTGGATCAGAAATTATTTTGGCTAGTAATTTACTAGCCATAGTAAATGCATCAGCTTTTTAAAAATGAGATAGATATTTTGGAATCTGACTTTGCAAGCATTGTCATGGTTTCCAGACTTAGAATTTACAATTATTAGAGAGTTTAACAGAACTTACAAGACTTCTCAGTGCAAAGGTCTTTTGCTAGAAACTTAAGAAATATCTGAAATACCCCAAGGCTGAAAATATTACACCTCTTAAACACCCTTCAAAAGCTTAAAGTTTTGTTTATATGCTATACCAAATATTTCTGTTTAGACACTGATTATCACACTTCTAAAGTAAAGAATTATTCTATTCATTCTTCATTTCTTTAAAGAACTTTGAAAATTTTTAGAAGACAGAAAAAAATAGAGAAATTAGCCCAGCAGATACAGCCATAATGATATCAACTTAGAAAACTGAGTCTTCATAATTTTACAAGGTTCAACTATGCCAAAACGATTTAATACGATTTAAAGTTACATCAAGTTAGGGTGTATTTTTAAGTATTTGTCTGGCTCAGACCTAGAGTTTTCTGGGTTATTTCACTGTCTGCTACTTTGATGCTGTGGGGGCAGGCAAAAAGACAAGCATGCCCCAAACTGCGAGGAGGGGAAACTCTCTGCAGCCCTTCATAAACTTCCTGAGGTATACAGACTATTTGGTGTGGCTATGCACTTTATCAAAGATTTGTTATCCATTTCACCAGTGCTTTGGTGACTAAACAAATAACTTTTTCCATAGAAACACAGTGGCCTAATGACATTTTTACAGTGCTCCAAATGACCCTTTTACCCTTGCAGGTCTTTTTTCCTCCTGATGGTAAAGGAGAAGTTTGTGTTTTGTTCATAGGTCAGCCTCAGAGCTCCTTCAATTTCATTTTCAGTCAGGACTTCTTGAATGGTCATCTATGGGGAGAAGACAGTAAACAAACCACACGCCATAGCTTCTACCCAGCAGTTCACCTAAACTGAGCACAATCTGTTGACTGAATAAAAACCATTACGTTGACTGAAGTTTACCTTCCAGACGGGCCTTCTAGATCCTTTCTAGACCTAAACCAAAAGCATCAAGAGATGTCGTCTTTTTTTTTTCTGTATGCTTCCATAGCTACTCATTTGCACTATTGACAAATATTAGCCTTACTTTCAATGTAGCCTTATCCGATTCAAGTCTAGAGCCACTGGTTCTTGTTTGTGTCTTCTCCATTCTTCTTTTTCATATACTGTAAAGAAACTGCCTTTCCTTCTTTTTTTGATGAAGCAGATGGAGCTCTACAAATATTTTACTCCAGGGTATTTTCTTCCTCCCACAGCTGCTGGCTCCTCTACAGCTTTATCCTGAAACTGCTAAAGAATCCCTCTGGGGAAGATGAGCACTGTCTCCTACACTTAAATATCAACACATGTTGTGTTTGCCGAAGTCTGTGGGAACAGTAATTTCTGAAGTCCCATGATTACACTCATACCTTATACATGAATAAGGCACCTAAAGAATTAGCATCTCTGTTCTTCTTTTTTTCACTCAAACATTTAGAGGATAAAAGACATTCCACTAAAGATTCAGGGGGAAGAAGCAGGGGATATATCTAATATCTTTTAATAAAATGTTGGCATTAAATATTCACCTGAAACACTGACACTTAATATGCAGGTTTAATATTGCTCTAACATTTATTTTCAGAAAAGTCTACCTTTAATCTTGTATCCTAGCTACATATCCTTTTATTTGAAGAGAAAGTGATGGATGACTTGGATGTGCTGTTCTGTGTACTACCCTCCAAAATGGAAGGAGACATTTCAACTAATACTTCTTTCTCCCAAGGGATGAACAGGTACAGCCTTTGTTGATCCTATCAGGTAGTTTGGAATACAAATCTATTTCTGTTTATCAAACACTGAAACATTTTAGGTATCTATGCTACAAATGGTTTAACCAAGCCAAGGAATTCTCTAGGTATGAAGGACAGCTGTTTTCTACCAAAAGTCCCTTCTACTTTAGTTAAGCTGTATCAGCTAGGAACTGACAGTAAATGAGTGTCTTCCTGAAATGATTAATCCTGAAATCGGAGATTTCAGGTACCTGCTGAGTTTCCTTGGAAACAGATCATTAGCTGTGTACTTAAGCTAAACAAGGATTCAGATAAACTGGGCCAAGTCACCTCTCTGCACTTGTATAAACCTGGAGTAATTTCACTGAGGCCACTGGAAGTGCTCTGGATTCATGCTAGTGTAACTCAGATGACAGCTCTAATCAAAGCACCACAGAAGATCTATGGTTTGTTACCTTAAGAAAGAAGGGAAGTCCCAGATGATGGAGAAGTGATATTGAATGCTTCACCTCTGCCATGAATTCAAATATACCATAGAGTTGAAAGTCTGTGTCAACATCCATAGTCACAGCTATATCTTTCTCGTCATATTGGATTTCACAGATAGTCTTGGCTTTGTTTTCTAAATAGCAAGAACAAAATAGTGCCATTTTGAGGGCTCATTTTCAAGGAATTTCAGTACTGCCTGCATAAAATGAATCCAGCCAGCTTTTGGGTTAAGACATTCATCATGACAAAGTCATCCATTCAGGATGACAAGAGCTTCGGCCTGTGGAGAAGTGAAGAATTTTTTGGATGTGCTTGAACATACAAAGTCTTGAGTTAACAGAGCTTGTATACCCACGTACAAGTGTTAAGTGACAAGTCAGTTCCCAACAGTAATGCGTTTTCGCAGCTAGAGCTGACTAGCTTATACAGCCGACTGTAGCACTTGGCAGGTGGTAGCCATTTCTAGAGAAGATCTCTGAGCTGTTTTGACCTCTAGTGACTCCCGCAGTTCCAGCTACAGCAGAACAACACTGCTCAAACAACACGACTTAAAGACCTTTCCCCCACTTTCCTACCAGTTTTTCATATTTGAAAAAGAAAATACAGACTGCTAAGAGATAAAAATTAGATGAGAGATGTGAAACCCCAAAACTTTTTACAGAGAAGACAAAAATCACAGACATGTATGCAATCATACAGTGACCACTCTGGTGGCTGTCCTGAAAGCCACCTGTTGTCCTATTGCTTTTTTCAGAATGGGTGAAAGGAGATGGTGCCACTAACATTAGTATTGATTCAGTGCCTGCTAACCTCAGTAATTCCTACTCTTTGGTGCTCCCACAGTTGTTGAGGTTTTTTCAACGTGAATATACTCCCATGTGGGCACTGAAGGTACTTGACCACAATGTAAATCACCAGTTGAGGGATATGCAGATAGGATTCATGTCAGGGCAGGTTTTAGGGATAGACCGGCTTATTCAGGATGGGTCTGTCTCCCCTCCACTGATCAAACAACAAAAGCCATTCATAATTATTTTCAAAACCCACTTTAAACTACACCTGATTCACATTTTTTGTGCTCTATAACAAGGTTCTTTGTGTAATATTGGAAAAGACAGTTTCTTTATTTTATGCAGCTAAGTATCTTGGGGATCACCAGTTTTACCAGGTGTTGTACCACATGAGATCTTTCCTGGAATTAAAAAACCAGCTGTAATGTAGCTAATAACAGATGCAGTTTAAGAATGACAATTGTACTTACATACAAGAAAAAGCTCCTTTTTAGGTACTACCAGCAGATCTTAGTCAGTTTGTAGCTATTGACGGAATAGTTGAAACATCCTCAAAGAGCTGTTATATAACAAGAAAGCTGCAAGGAATGCCAGGTACCTACCTGATTTCTGAAAACTGAGAATCAAGTTGATTGCCTTAGGGTAGCCAGATGCCTGTAGTGCCTCGCTACTGTGTACACTTTGGCAAAAGATATCCACTTGGTGACCAACATAATAGGAGTTTATTATGTATGTGATTGACGTTTCTCCAGCTGCAATATGCATGTATCTTTCTTGAGTAGTGTTTCTCCCTCGAAAAACCACATCTATCTAAACAGTGACATGTAGATATAAGTTTTTGAAACAACATTTAAATACTATTTAATTTTAAAATAGAAGACAAATGGAAGTGAAAGAAAGTTCTCTCTAGTCTATACTTATGTTAAAAATCCATCCATTAACAAAAAAAATCTTAGCCTTTCATTAATCATCTATGACTTTCCAGCATGAAGTCCATTCAATTGAATGAATTTCAAACCATGCCAGCCTCACTGATTTATGTCAAATTCTCACTAGATTCTCTTTTATCCCACAAAAACATGACTGCCTTTATATGAAGGATCCTTGATCCACGCATATTGCCAATATGTACTAGATAGTAGGTACGCCAACACTTCCTTGAAAATGGCACTTAAAGTAGTACTTCGTTAAATATAAAATTCCCATTAAAGTACATAGGAGCAATATTCCAATTCCCGATGCAACGTTCTGAAACTATTCTCCTGTAGAGTTACAATATCAACAATACATACTGTACTAACACTGATCAGAATGGAATAATCTGGTCCAGAAAGCAGTCAAAAAGAAATTTTCTATTTCAGTAGTTCAGGTTTTAGCCATCCATAGTTTTTAAATATCAGAAAATCTCAGCTTCCATCCTGTACCTTACAAAACAGTAGTTTTCATTCCAGCCACGGGCTATTACTTTATAATAAGGACAATAATTTTAAAGGAAAAAAAAAAAGAAAAAGGGAACTACCTGTAAAGATGATGGGACTCCGGCTTGTAGCAGCCATGGCCAAGTATGATGGAAATTCCCAGTTATGTTGGTACTTATTTCAGACTCCTGGATTTTTCCTTCGAGAACTGTCAGGTCAGCACCATAATGCACTTTCATACTAAAGCTCTTGATCACTTTCAGGTTCAAGATAGCCTGTGTGCAACAAAGGTAAATTGTGAAAAGGCAGCTTTGTAAAAGGTAAAGCTCCTGTTAGTCAGGGTTCTTTCTTCGGTTCAAGCAGTATCATCTCAAAGATGTGTCAAAAAAATTAATCTTGTATAATTTTATAACACAACATAGTTACAGATGTCCCTTTTATTTTTAAATTCAACATTTTAACATGTATTCTCCAGTATGGACATGCCTTAACCCTATTCAAGCAGTTACAAGATTAATAAAGAGTAAGTGTTGTGCTGTAGGCTTGTGTATCTCGGCTAAAAAAATATGCCAGGTAATCAGTCTGGGAGGAAAATACCATTTGGAATGTAAACCATGAAATCATATCAGTACTCACCCCTGTCTAATCTATACAAGGTACACTGCAGATCTATCAGACAGACTAGGCATATGAGCTAAAATGCACTGCCCTCCTTGTGCAGTGCATGCTGCAAGCTCAGCTGTGGCTTGGGCTCTTCACACATTGGGAGCCAACCTCCAACCTCCTATTCCTACGAAAAGTTCTGGTCCAGCAAGCTATTCTCCCAATCCCTCGAGAACCAACTGAGCTTCTGGATTCCCCTTAAGAACAAAGTGAGCATCTGGACTCCCCTCCACCCTGAACTTTACGGGGCTGGGGGGGGGAACAGAGAGAAAGAGAGCAGGAAGGAGAGGGAGGAGGGAGAAAACGAAAAGATAAACGTCTTTAAAACAGAAGCAGGCAGTATGACCCATGTATATTGGGACAATATCCAAATTCAGGAAAATCTTATTCTATCAGGAGCGTAAGCAGCAATGTGCTTTTCCATCTCCATGCTCCACCTAGACAGATAGCACCTTCCCCAACTTCCTTTCGCTTCTGATGGCTTACAGAACTCAGGACTACAATCTGCATGGCAAGAAAGTGACTGGTTTGTTACCTGTCCATTACAGTGACATTTCATTTTACCACCACCACACTTCTCTGCCTCATCTTATCCCAGCTCTTTCCAAAATAGTCCTTGTATGCACAGGTACAGACTTCAAATGTCCCAGACCATTCATTTTGCACAAAAAATTAACAGTTTGCACATCCTGCAATGCACTTTCATGATTAATACTCCACCATACTTCAACTTACATATTGAAGGGCAGTAGACACTGCTGCTCTCTCTGGCAACTGAATTAAAGGTAAGGAAGGCCCAACTTAAGTAGAGTACAGGTAAAGAAAAGCACTGGGTCTAGAAATAATTATAAATGAGAATGAAAGCTGGGGTGGTGTGACAACACAGACACCTTAATTCTGAAGGATACTTTATTGAAGGTTAGATTGTATTTTAAAATGTTGAGAACCATCTTTCCCACTTGTACCTGTGACATTAGGCAGATTGTTTATGTTTGTGGTTTGCTCCACTTCGGCTATGTTTTGTAGCAATAAGCTTTTTCTCCTGATTAAATCTTGACTTTTAAGTGAAGCAGTATTATGAAGCAACTTTGAAATCTGCTACGATCTTATGCAAGATGGCATAACAGAATAGAAAAGATGATAAAGATGCCAAAGTTAACAACTGAATGAGTAAAATTCTACCCTCCTTGACAGAGAGAGAAAAATTTCACCTAAACAGCAAATGCACAAAGTCACATCTACACCCTCTGTTCTTTGCCACCTGACTTCTACAGCTACTGCTTCCATCATGGCATGATTCCTGGCTGGATTCATGTCTCCCCTGCCATTGTCTGACAACTTACCTGCAACTCAATCCTGTCTTCTATTTGCAAAGTCTTCAGTGCCTCTATGTTATGAGTAAGTTTGTAGTTGAGAGACACAACATCCAACTTCTGGACAAAGCTCAGTTCTTCTGTAATCTGTTCAGTCCAAATAAAATACGACAAAAGTTAACTGTGGCACATCTCTGATATTGAGGCTGCTCTGATTAATTGGAATTATTGTACTAATTACACACTAGAGTAAAATTATGAAAAATACGAAAAATTTATGGTGGAGAATTGTCTAATTTTTTTATAAGTCACAACTTCGTCCTGTAATAGGGAATATGCTGCACCAAATGAAGATACCTGATAAGAAAGATTTGATACAGTTTGCAAATGGGAGTCATGGATCATTGCTGATGTCGAATTTGTTGCTAGAAGGGATTGCACAGAAGGAGTGGCTGAAAGATACTGCCTTCATTTAATTAAGGCCTTTAAAACCAAACCAGTCCCTGCAGAGTATTCCTATAAGGGCCTCATGCACAGATATTTCAAATGGAAAAACAGTATTTACCAAATCAATTAGCTCACTTTAACCTCTACTTTACATCTTACTAATACGGAGGAGACACTTACTTGCTTGCTGTTCACACAGAAGTGAGTACGTCTTTTATAGAAGTCACTGTTTTTTTCTGATATCACATCAACTAACATCCTCATAGGAATGCCAATGTCAGCAGCTCCTTGAATATTATGGGTCAGCACTGCATCCAACTCTTGTCTTTCCTGTTAATATTTCACAGCTTATATAGCAAAGCATGTGTAGAACCCAAAGCTTGCTGCAATACACAGCTCGAAACAGAAATTTAGCAAATCTGTCTGTCCTATATTTAATACTAATTAAAACCAATTGCACTGAACTTAGGGAAGTTACACTGGGAAAAAGAAAAAAAGCAAGCCTAACAGATAAGATAAAAAAATATACATTTCAGCTAAGAGGGAAGAAGGTGTAAATGCTTCTCTCTGGTGGCAAAGAACTCCCACTAGCTATCTGTTTCTCTACAGCACAGAAATATGCAGAAATTACCAGTTACGGCAAGAAAGTGAATAATCAAAAGGAAGATGCTTCTCTCTGTGTGCATTCTACTCTCCTGCACTGATGACAAAGGAAGCCAAACTTGTAATTGTCAACAGGAAAGCAAGAGATTCACAGCCTTTCTTGTGTTGTCTTACTGAAGAAACAAACAGCAGTGTCTCAATTAATCACTGCCTATTATTTTGCAATGTAAATCACAGTCATCACTCTATAAATCACAATCATCTTCTTGTGCATTTCTATATACTTTCATGATGAATGAAGAGTGTTATATTGGAGTACCTGTTGTATATCTGGAGTGAGATCAGCATTTGTGGGTTTGCATGTCTTATCATATTTGCCATATAATATAAGGAACGTCAAGTTGTACAATATAAAAAAATAAAATATATACACCCAAAGAGCATAACAAGGAAATGATTCAGAAAGTGCCACAGCCTGTATCCTATTATCTTAGACATCTGTTTTACTGCACATTACAGGTGCCAGGTTTCCAAAGATTTTATTTTTATTCTGGCATTTATTACTAAAGCTTGACTATTTGTACCCAATAAAATAGTTTAGAATATGTCACTCAGTACTTTGTACATGCAGTCTAACAGTCTGCAGGATACTTACATCAGTGACTTTTAGTATAAGGAGTCCTTGTAATTTACTTCCATCAACAGTGATCAATGTCTGTGAATCTAGGTTCATTTTATCCATCAAAACATAGCCTGAACTGTCAATTTTTACTGGTGCTCCAAGATCCTGTACAAGCAAAAAAAAAAAAAAAAAAAAAATTAAAAATTCACCACTTTTACACTCACCCACAGATACACTATACACCTGAAACTTTTTATTCCTAATAAGTAGCTCTAATAGCACCTAGCTGTAAGTCTAGTATATCAGGCAGCATATCCATACGATGTTTCAGAAATCTTGACAGCTTTTTATTACATTTTATACATTTTGCCTTTTTCATTTTGAAGACGTCTGACATATTTTGGTAAGTGAGCCAGCATAAATAGAACACAGGACAACGTGGCAGCTCCTCCTGCCTAAGTGAAAAGTCAGTTAATTTTCTATGCTTGGCATTGCTCCAGTGGCCCAAAGCATCCATAAATCTAGTGAAACCAGACAGTATACATAGGTTTATTATGGCAGCTCTGGTTTTGGAAGAAGGCAAGTGAATGTCATCTTTGCATATTCAGATTTACCCTGACTTGCATATTGAATCCACAGATCATTCTGTGATAACATCTCTCAAACCTTCCACACACTTCTGTCCTTTCCATTCCTGCCTATATAGCACTGACTGGTGGGATCTGTGAGAGGCCAAGTGCCATGATACCGGGATTTCCAATAGCAATACAAATTTTCAGTAAGAAAAGTCAGTGCGCAATCCAGCTAAATTTAGATCTGCTACTTCAGGAAATCCTGCTGCAGAATTTCTCCCCCTTCACCTACCTACAACGGTCTGTCCTGGGAAAACAAACTACTGGGCAAGAGTTGAAGGAAAAAGTGCCATTTTTCAGTCCTCCATCAAAAGGCAAAAGGAGCTCAGCATGTCATGCTAACTAGCTGAGAGAGGTCACAGCACACCGCCTTTCTTTACTTGGGAAGCTCTGAAAGCTGCCTTGCTCCCCAGCTCACACAGCTCCTCCCAGGCAACGACACTGTGGACTCCTTCAGAGATGGGGACTCCCAGGACATCTGACGCCAACCAGGTCGACTGTCCCAGAGACAGGGTTTCACTTCCTTTGCTTTGTATATAAACGAGACCGTACTGCAAATAATGGCATATTCGTGTGATACGGAGTGATCATCTTCCACAGAACTCCAGTTTTCACTGTATTTTTCTACTGGCTAAATCTTTTCAACAAAGAAACTACGTTTTCTTACCCTCCTAGTTGCTGTTCAGACTCAGAGTCTATAGTGAGAGTCCCACCAAACCCAGAAGTTAAATCTCATTAACGAAACAGGAGGCGTGATTTGGTGGTGCCCAGTCAGACACTGTAAATGGTAAGGTTCAGCTCGGGGACAATTATATGGCCAGCATTTGCAAGAATTACTACAGAGAAATGGCTCACCAGGTCAGTCCAAACCAGCTTGTTCAAAATGGCACTGTTTGTTTTTCAACTAAATTCCTCAAAATATTTCTCAACTGAGGTCTTACAGGAAATCATAACTGCTGTTTAACGCTGGCTTTTTCACTCTGTGTGCTCTCCACAATGGTTTTCATATATTGCATATCAGATTGTAAGCAATTTCCATTTTCTGTAAAGCTGAGCGAAAATTTTCTGACCTGAAGATTATCTATTTACTTTATGTATTTTTAAACTATTTCAGAGTTTGGTTGTCAAACTGCTGAGAAACTGTAATTGCTGATAAAGCCAAACCAACTTTGAATACTCAGTATTTCTGAAGATTAAAAGTCTGCAGATTTCTCAACCATGCTTTTTAAAAAAATACATCAGAGCTAGTACAAGCAAGTCCATTAACTGTAGGTACTGATTCATAGAAAATTTAGTTTATACCATATAAAAATACAGTGAATGACTGGCTCCAAAAGTAAGATGTAACATTAAAAGTACAGAACGTTTTTCTTGTTTCTCTGCTACCGTTGAAATCATTAGACTATCTTCTTTTGACTTTAGTAGGTGCAAAGATCCTGGTTTAGATGTACAAATTCAAAAGTAAAGCAAACTATTCCTTCCAATACCTGAATTGTTTGGCATTTGTTTTCTATAAACATTTTCCACTGAAGCTTCTTTTCAGGGTCGAAGTCCCCGTTCATTTGAAGCTCACAAGCACCCCATTTCATTCCTATTCCAATATGATATTTTAACTGTTTTCGTGCAGTGATGGACAGCTTATTTTCCTTTGGGATTTCCTTCAGTTGAGGGAGGTCGTGCCTGAACTGAATTTCCAGTGTAATCTTTGGCTTGCACTCTGCTCTCACTTCAAGACGGGCAGTCTTGCTGTCTGTTTCAAGGACACAGAGAAGTTCTGCTTGGCAGTTGTCTTTCTGAATAGATCCTGTAAGCCGTGACTGCGTTGGAATACTGAGATCCTATCAAGATTAAAAAAAAAAAAAAATCCTTTGGATTATACATACACTTTAAGACAAGTCAGTACTGAGTCTTTTTTCTTCTCCCTTTAGCATACGAGAAAGGAGATTTTATGCTACAATATCAGAGACAAAACCTACAATCTCTGCGCTGCCATTTTTCTCCCTCCCAACAGTAATATGCTAATTTTGCCTGAATAAGGTCTGACAGAAGATTTTAGGACTGCCCTGCAGAATTTACAACTTCTGTGTTTATATGAAGTTTTACATTTACAAAAATACAAAATCCCTGTTTCTTCAGAGTGGCAAAGTTTACTGAACATCCTCTGTTTCATTCAGACCAGACTAATCTCAATCTTAAAACAAACTAACCCACAAAAAATAATAGGCCTAACAGACATTCTTGCATCTAGTGTTATAAGGATTTTTTTTTTAATACTAAAACTTCAAGCTTGTCTTGTGCAACATCCCAAATGAAATGTTTCCTCTCATTCTTTCAAAGTATTTTTAAAAACACTGAAAATTCTACTATTTTTAACATTTTAACTGGTTTTTGTTCCCTCTTCACTACGGATGACACACACTTTCCTGTGATTTTTGTTTTTATGTTGCTGCTTTGTAGTTGAAGAAGTTAAAACTGAGGAGTTAAAAGCAAAACATAAGTGCCTATGAACATCTGGAAATAACCCCTAAATTTGCAATAGACATTCTTTCTAATGTAGTCCGTGAGGCTAGATGGAAAAGCCAAGGAAATTTCACAACTTCTACTTTGATAAAAAAGACAGACCAGAGAATATATTTTTTGACAAATAGTTCAAACTAAAACTGCTGTTCAGCCTTAGAAGGCAGTGTCGGTGTGCAAAGGCAACAAGCAGCAGAGACCGAACTGATCTCAGTCTACGGAGAACACCTATGAACAGGATACATTACACACTTTCTTTGCCTAATGCTGTAAGATAGGTGTGTCTTTAGAGTGGCTTTCTAACACTCAAACATTGTTATTTTAGCTAAAATCCTATATGGCCCTGCATTTGATCCCAAATCTCTCTTTAAAAGTCTCCAAGAGCTACCTGCAGAAGCTGACACTCTGTTTCCATTTCCAGCGTCCACTCAGCTTTATTCTGAATACAGAGGTCTCCTCTAGCCTTAAGTTTGCATTTGCCAGCCTGCAGCAACAAAATGCCCTCGGTGGTGGAGTCTGTGGCTGCAGATAACAGGACAGAGTTTTCAAAAGGCAGCCCAAGCTGACTCAGCCAGTGAACTGAATGCCTGAGCATCCCTTGGAGCGTATATTCGTGTTCGCAGGAAGTGTCTATCTGCACATCAACTGTTCTGCCGTCACACTGGAGGTTCATTAACAAGCCAACGTTGCAGATGTTCTGTTGAAATGAGCCCCCAAAGGCTACAGCATGAGGCAATCCCATCCTCTGCAACAGAAAAGATTATACTATTTAAAGCACACAAAGTAAAGCAACTGTCTTCCTAATTTGTTTCTAATTAATGAGGAAACATTTCTTCTTTCTCAACCAATATGCTTTTGGAAAGGACCATACAAGACAGCTTGTTTCACAGAGAAATCAGAAATGTCTCTGTGAAACAAAAGAAAAAGAAACCAAGAATAAGTGGTATGGGGAAAAAAAATCCTACAATCTTTTCATAAGTACTGTAGAAGAAAAAGTTCATAACCCCAAAGAAAACCTCCAAAATTTCAAACAGAAAGGACATACTTTTCATTAGATTCTAGGACAAGAGTTTATTTTAACTAAAAAGCTATTAGTAAGCAACTATTTTATGGCAACTGCAGTAACATCTACCATTGTATTACTCCAAATTCTCATCTTCAAATACACTCCCTCTGCAAGTGCTCTGACTCATTGCTCTGCCAGAACAACTTTAATGACCAAAACTGTCCTTTCCATAAATAATAGTGTCAAGAGACAGATCTCTGTGACTCACAATGATCTGAAATACACAGACTATAATGCCATACAGAAAACAATCTAGGCTTACCTCTAGACTGACGCACTTGTTTCTAAAAGTAAGTACCCATTCTGTATCTGTTTCATTGCTTGCCAGGCTCACTTCTCCATCAGCTTTTAAACTGCAAGGCCCAAGGACAATACCAAGCATGCCCTTATACTTGTCACTTCTCATGGCTGACACCTTCACTTGGTTCTCTCTGGCAATTCCCAGAGACTGAAGCAAAGGCAAAGAATGCTGGAAGTCAATTTCCAAACGAGGCTGGATGGTAGTGGTGGCATGGAGTTGCAGGCAGGCAAACATGTCATGAAAAGAAACATGTCCAAAGAAGATGACAGTAAAGTTGCTGGTAAACATTGACCCGTTCAGTGAAACTCTTGCTGGAGCCTAAAAAATTACAGGAAAAACTGTTGTCAAGTTTGTTTTCCTGTCAGGCCATATACTGTTTTTAAATGCTCATGTTACTAAAAGAGAACTATTTCCCTACTACCCTGACACCATTTTGTATTTGCCCTACATATTTATAAATGCCTAAACAAATTGAGAGATGGTCCAAAACCTCTATTTTAGAGTTCCATAACAAAAACAACAGGAAAAAAAACAACTCCACAGCTCCATTAAAACAATTACTAATACTAGAAAAATCAACTACCATTGCTTTTACTATCATCACTCCTGTTTTTATTATAAGTAAATAGAGTTCTAGCAATGTAAGAATGTGTTCAATTCCTCTCAGACCTTAGCAGGAGTGATCAGTGTTACGCAGATTGTACCCATGTTAAATGAAGGAGGAACTGAAATGCAATTGTCTTTTTTGGCATTAGAATATACATGGGAATCAGAGTCACTGTGATTACTGTCTGTCTAGAGAGAAACATAATCTTCTGTAATGTCACTCACAGGTGACATTTTTAACATGTTCTTAAGAATACGTGAGATTATGAGGTGTATCTTTCTCGAACAGCTCAAGAGTCACAGGGACTTTCACAAATGGTTAGCTAGAAAGAGCAGAGAATAGAGTAAGAAGTAAACCATAAAATTCTCAGCTTGTGCCTCCTATGCTCCCTTGTCCAGTTCCTATCAGGTTGGCTGCTCAATAAGAGAACAAGACCATTTATACTGAGTTCAGTTCTAACTGACAGAAGACACAGTTTGGAGACTTCAGCTAGAAACATGAATGTGACTCTTGCCTTTTGCCTGGCACACACCTTTTATCTCATTATACTAGTTTTTCTGCTAGGTGCAAGCTCTTGCACTGAGCTCTGAAGCAGCACAACTTGATTGTTTGCTGCAGGACACAGGAATATCGCCTTTAAAATTACACCTGTTGGGCCCATAAACGTCCCTTACCTCTACTTTGTATTCTGCACTTGGTGCACAGCTATGCACTAAAGACATAAACCTGTATCACTTGAATGCAAGTTTGTTGACAATTCTGATTCAGAATAAACAATCCACTGCATGATGGTGAAATTGAGTGCAACCTTCCCCATGGACTTGTACAGTTTTTGATGGAGAAGTAATCTGATCTGTTTGAATCTGTGAATATTAAGGGAGTGAAAATATCTGAAAGTGTGTGCAAAACTTCCAGCTAACTCAAATCTATTTCTACATCTCTGACACCTTCCAGTACTTAGATTCCCTCAGTGGTAGTTAAGACAGTATGCTGTCGACAGCGGAGTTTATAAACGAAGCTAGTACCTCAAAATGATGAAATGCAATTGCTCCACTGCAAAGGCCGGAAAGTTGTTTGTTAGCAGATTCTCCACTGCAAGCAACCTGTTGGCATTATTAACAAAGCACATTCAGAGCATGAAGAAAAGCAGAGAGGACTAAAATACAAAGGAGCAAGCTAAAAAGCTGGATGAAGATACTAAAACATAGCTTTAAGATTAAAGGTTAGCGATCATTTTCAAAAAGAGAAACAGTTTAGTCGATCTGAGGCTAAGTCATGTCTCTCTAATCTTGCATTTTCATGCCAAAATATTATCAGCATAGATACAGAAGAATATCTTCGAACAGTAGGAAACTGTTACTTGCTAGACAGAACTATTTTTGATACTCTGGCTTTTGATTTCTACAGGAAATAGTGGTATTTCTTGTGTTTGGCATAGAAAATACCACTGTCAAAAGTAGACTTTCAGTGTTTCAAATGCCATCAGCTGTGCCCCCCGTTGCAGAAAGAGAAGTCCTTGGGGAGTGCTGTTGGCTGTATGAAAACTACTGCCATTATTATCCACTCTGCTGTCAATATCACTGCACCCACAAACAGCCATGTGATCCACCTGCAAACCTTGCTTTAGCAAGATGGAAAAGCTGGGACTGCACATTATTGTGCCTGGGCAAGCACCTACTCCCGTTTCATGACATACATGTTTTGTTACCCACCACATCTTGAAAACCTGCTCTTTATGGCTAAGCATTTTTAGGCTTTCTGTACTGGCCTTGTTTGACAAAAATCTCTCTCCCTTCTGACCTGCTAGCTTGCTCTCAAGTGGTAAATTTGAACAGTTGAGAATGCACAGCAGAAAGCTACATCAAATATACTATATAGCAGGATTTCTGCTCACCTCTAGTACATGTGGAACAATGTCAATCAGTCCTCCCACATCATGGTGAAGTGAAAGAGAAATTTCCATAGCACTGCCAGTGGTTTTCTTCTCTATTTCAATTTTGAGCTGTTCCATCTCCACGGTGGTTGTTATCCCTGCAGCAATCCTTTTGGTGAAATTCTATGCACAAAAGAAACCAAATCATGGAAGAAACAAACAACAACATCCCAGCAACAACTGGCAAAGGCAGAGTCTGTTTCACCATGCCTAAACGTCACAGCCTGTGTCAGGGCAGCAGCACCAGTAAAATAAAAGCGCAAATTCATCAAAGTGGCTTCATTTCAAATAGAAATTTTCCCATTACGCTAGACTTTCTGAAGGCTGTGTACCAATAATTCCTTCTGGCTTCAAAACATGTTGAGAGCATTCAGTACCCTGGAGGATCTGAGTTCTAAGGCATACACGATTAAAGCAGTGAAACTACTAGTAAGCAGGGCAAGGGGAACTGTATAGAGTTCTTCCTTTGCACACCTCTGTGTCACACTGTACCACAGTGGCTGAACCCACCACAAATGTTAGTATGTTGGTGACTTGAGCCTTCCAGCATATGTTAGAACAAGCAAAATATTTGAACCCTTCTTTTATGGAAGGATAGTTTGAGATGCAAAAGAGCTATAGGTTGTTCACGGATCTATAGCAGAAATGCAGATAGAGAGAAGAGTGGCCAAGTAACACTGTACCAGGAAACATGATCTGTGATGCTTCTGTGGGTAGAGATTTCCAAATGGAAAGCCATGCTAAACACTCTTCCCCTCTAGTGGACATCCAAAGGATGACATCAGAAGTAGTTAAATCTAGTACCAGATGCGATGCAGTACCTAGGCTCACTGACACTTACCTGATGGCTACATACATTAGGCCTGCCTATCCACAGTTATAGAGGAAAAATAAAATTGGACAAGACTGCTGTTCTTATGCAGCAAAGCACTTCACTTAAATGAGACCTGAATGTAGCATCTCATTTAGTCTAGATTCAGCTCCAAGACTTCAGATGACAGGTACACAATATGACAAGAAGCCAGAAAACACCTTTCTTTCACACAGTAATTTAGTACATCTCAAAAATGCAGGTGCTTTTGGAATAAAGTACACAGGAATAACCTACAGTTATTAGAAATGGTTCTGCCAGAAATTAAATAATCACAGGCAGAACTCTTCTTACCTCATAAGAGCCAGCAGCTTCCACAATAAAAGGGATACCATGTTTCTTTAACTTTGAGATGTTGTGCTTTAAACTCACAGATAGCTGGGATTTAGGAGGCTCTGTGGACAGTCTTTGACTTCCAAACACAGCCATAATACTTTCACTGCCACTCTGTAGGGCTATCGTAATGGTGTGATTTCTTGTGCCATGGTCACACATGGCAGTAAGAATGCCATCCAAGGGCAGTCCTATTGACAGGGAAAGAAGCAAAATCAACACAATACTTCTGGGTTGTCATTGTAAAATACAGAAAAGATGTATTACAGATCAAGAGAAGCCTTCTATAGCTTTTCATAAGAAAAGACAGACTTTTTTTTAAAGTGTGATCATCCAGTTAGCTACACTTACTGATATTTATAGTAAGAAAGGACATTACCTACCATATGAAAATCATATTAAAAAAGGATTGTTAAATTGTGTCATGCATTTTGGAAGTCAAGGATTTTTCTTTTCTTAATAGAGGATATCTATCAATGGGTGTTGTGTCCAACTCCAGTAGTCAGTAGTTAGAAAGTTTCAAAACAGATTTTTTCAGTCCAAAGGGACAAAGGCAATTTACCCATTCAAAATTATTGATAACATCAGTTCATGAAAATCCTTGGTTTTGCTTAGGAAAAAACACTGGCATATTTTAGTCTTCAGTGTGATTTATTAAATGCCTTTTAATGTTTTAACTCTGACCCAAATCAAAACTGGCATAAAAATATGCCTAGAGGAACTGATCATCATGCAGGAATACAGATGTACAAGAGAGAAATAATTTACTCTGAAGTAGTTCAAAGAGTTTTTAAATAGTTTTGTATCCATTTCATTGTATTTTCTCAACAATATTAAAAAGAATGTTGCTAAGACTGGATCACATTTTATTCTGGTGTTAGCAAATGCAACTCATCTATTTCCACTGGTCTGCACTCATTTAGATAAATTCACCTTGACACCTTGTTACACCACACCATCAAGTCAGAATTTTCTTCATACCTGCATTTTTTAAAAAGCTGATATTATGTATGAAAGTCCCATGGACTCTGCTGTGCCCATGACTCATGACATTGGAAAAATCTACAGAAAGGGCTTTCTCATCCACCTGGAAGCTAGCTAGCCCCCTTTTCATCTCTTTACTCAGCTCCAGGTGTCCTTTCAGTTTTGCCTCCATTGGGATTGCCTGACTGCCATTCTGAAACATAGCAAAAGTGATATTGTGTACGGTGGTATTCCCAAACACATTTCTGTTCCTGAGATGGAGTCCATACAGAATTTTGTTGATCATCACATTGATGTTACCTGTAACAGGCAGAAATTATTACTGTGGAGAGAGTCCTTTGGGACAGAAATAACCAGGATTTGATAAGCAACATATAGATTAACCATTAATTTAATACCAGGAGGAAGTAAAAGAATTTCCATTTATTATAATAGGTACTTTAGCCTAAAGCAGAGAATGAATTGTTTTATTGTTGAGAGAGAGTTTCTCTACTAGTAGAAGTGTCTGTGTTTAAAACAAATTACATAATAGCATTTCTGGCTGCTGTTTCTTTTTACTCGCCAAGCTTCTTGTGCCTTTAGGCCATGGACTACACTGCACTGCCTTCTCAAGGAAAATTTACAGAGGGATTATGAACTATCGCAAAAGCTACAGGCTAAACAATCCCTCTGGAGCTCTGCACTGACTACTCCACCCATGCAGCCATTCAAAAGAGTAAGGGCCTCAAGTCAGCCCCCCCTCCCCCACATTTCAGAAGACCTGTGTAGGAAAGATGCCACCCACTATTTCCTTCAGTTGATGAAAATATGAAAATATTCAAACTATGTAAGTTCACTAAAAAGTACTTTCAACCAAATAACCAATGGTTCATTTTGCATGCTAAATACTCTCTTCTGCATTATATGCAGTTCAGTAAGAAATACATTAAAATTAAGATGTTTCCTTGGATAGCTACAGACTTAGTGGAAAAACACAAAGTAAAAAAGTACCATCGTGAATGTTGTTTTTGCACTTCAGTAATCCATTCAGAGAAAGAAGATGAGGTATGGCCTTTAATCCAGCAAATGTGTGTTGGACTCTTCCATTTAGGGACAAAACAAAACCAACTTTCTGCTCCCTGGCTCCCATGAAATCCACATGAAGCCTATTTTCATTAAGCTTCATCTCAGAAGATAGCAAAAGTCTAAAAAGACAGAGATAAAAATTGCCAGTAAGGCTCAATGTCCAGATGGGATTGGTGATGAGTGGCCTCCCACAGGGGTCTGTGTTGGGACTGGTACTATTTAATATCTTCATCAATGACATAGACAGTGGGATCGAGTGCACCCTCAGCCAGTTTGCAGATGACACCAAGCTGAGTGGTGCGGTCGACACGCCAGAGGGACGGGATGCCATCCAGAGAGACCTGGACAAGCTGGAGAAGTGGGCCCGTGTGAACCTCATGAGGTTTAACAAGGCCAAGTGCAAGGTCCTGCACCTGGGTCGGGGCAACCCCCAGTATCAATACAGGCTGGGGGATGAAGGGATTGAGAGCAGCCCTGCCTAGAAGGACTTGGGGGTACTGGTGGATGAAAAGTTGGACATGAGCCAGCGATGTGTGTTTGCAGCCCAGAAGGCCAATCATATCCTGGGCTGCATCCAAAGAAGCATGGCCAGCAGGTCGAGGGAGGGGATTCCACCCCTCTACTCTGCTCTCGTGAGACCCCACCTGGAGCCCTCAGCATAAGAAAGACACGGACCTGTTGGAGCGGGTCCAGA